TCTTTAGTTTTGAATGAGAAAACGAAATGTGGAAAAAGGTCCTTATACCATCAATCCTGAAGTTTGGAAAATTGCAATATCTGCTATTTGAGCTCATTTGTTTTTGCACTGCTACCTTTCTTTGTTGTTTTTTTTGTCCACTTGTTTTTTTCTCTAACGTTCAACAAATATGATGGAGCAATCAGCAAATCACCTTCAATATTAAACGTCCATTAACAGGCAGGTGTCTGGGAAATTCCCTCTGTGATTCTCTAAAAGTAGGAAGAACGGAAACTCCTTTTTCATAAGATCACTTGGTTAGATTCATCTCAAGTCATTTGACTTTATCAGGAAGTCATGTTTCAACAAAGTAAGTTATTGTTCTTTGTTTCTTAATCAAAAAGGTAAAAATCATTCCCTCAGATGTTGTACAGATTTCATTCTATAAACCAGTGGCTTAATATCATCTTTACTTTCTGTGAGAATTACAGAGAAACAGTGGTGCCTTTGTTTTGGCTTAACTAAAAAAAAAAAAACCTTTTAAATCATTCCTCTAATATATGACCCAATAAAATTGTATTTATTTATTTTTTTCTGATTAGGCAAACATGGCTAAAATCCTGAAGCAAAGAACAATGATGGAATTTAGTGGAAACAGCATCTCAAAAAAGAAGCTGTAAACATAGGCTAATAATATTTAAATATCAGTAATAATCATAAACTATTATATATTGATTTACCGTCCACGTCTGGTTTAACCTTTTTATCATATCAATATTTTTTAATGAAATCAAAATATTTAAGTTTAAGCCAGATTTCAATGAATTAATCTTCTTTTTATTTTCTAACTTCCTTTATAATATGTGCATAGGGTGATAATAACGAGCAATAGCTAGATCTGGTAAAAAGCATATTTTCTTTGTAAGTTTGTTTTTGTACAGGATTCCAGGCAAATAAGCTGAACTTTTAAAACATGCTAAATTTTTCCATTAGTTCTGTAGAGGCTTCTTTGAATCTAACCACCTCCAGGGCATTGTCTAGTCACGGTATTCTAAAGCTGTTTCATTATTTCAGAGGGTTTTTATATTCCCTCTGACACCAGACCTGATCTACCTCATCAGTCTGTGTCTAAATGATAGCTTCCCATCTAAACAGGTATTTCACTGTTTACCTATTCTTAACTGGATTTCCGTTTGTTCCAATTTCAGAGACTTAGACTCACCAAACCTGATCTGAACTGTTTTCCTTCAAACACGCCCTGGGAGGTTTACTTCTATTTGTGGATATATTCAAAGGCTATTGTAAGTCTAAATCCTCCTGGTTTGATTCAACTGTGAAAGGCTATAGACTGGTTTATTAAGTAAGAACAGTTCTGCATTTATAGCAGATTCTTGTAAAGACAGTGTGTGAATAAAAACAGAGTTTTGTCATGAGTATTTTCTTAAGAGATGCACCACTATGAAAATCTGGGCTTGTATTGATATTAGTCCATTTCTGTCACATGACTAGCGTTAAAGTCAAGACCACACTGACCAAGACCAAAGAGTACCGAGACTGAGAGAAGACTAAGACCTTATATGGTCCTGGTTTTGGCCTCTAAAGGTCTTGGGCTCTAAAGGTCTCGGCCTTGTCTCAGTACTCCTTGGTTGGTGTGATCCTGACTATAAAGGCCAATTTATGCTTCTGACGCATAGCCTCTGCATCCATCAAATCTGTCTCTGTGCTAGTGGGCTCCATCCTGTGTATTCTTACGGGTCTATTGGATTGTTTGCTCACAAAACTTCCAGAGGAGTTGCTGGGGTTTTGCATTGACGCCTTGCAGCTGATGTCACTGATGTTCGAATCTGGCCGCAGCCATGTTGAGTATCCGCTCTGATCCCCTGCGCGTAAAAGACGTTGTCCGTATGTTTTTGCCGTCAAGCATATGTGTTGGATAGATTTCTCTTTACCGCCTACCAAAAGAGAATGAACGTCTTTAGAGATGGCTGTCAGCAACCAGAGGGGTTGACTGGATGCCGACTGCAAATAGCCGCCTGTTCAGGGTACTTATCAGGTGAGCTGCAAAACAAGTTAGGATGTCTAACTTAGTCTGTTGCCAACTGGATTTAATGTGTAGTACAGTTTTATTTTCAGAAAATTAAGTGATTAGATTACACTGATTAGACACCTTGTGAAGAGGTGAAATGGATATTACGATCTGTAGATTTTGCTACGGACATTATAGTTGTGTTTTGCTGTTTTCATAAGGAAAGCATATTGATCAGCAGAATGTCACTTACCTACGCTTTACATGCAGATATCTTCTTGTTTTCCGGAAGCCATATTTTCAGTTCAGTAATCCAGCCAGTTGTGAAATACTGATCAGCATCTATACTTTTAAAAGCTTTCAGAGCTTACCGATGTATGATGACGGATTGTGTATGAGATTTCGCGTCACTTGATTAATTTGGCTCCAACTAGAAGGGGTGTCAGCGCCATCATTTGACCCAGATTTATGGCATCATCAGATATAAGCTACATTTGACAAGAAGAATTTCATGCTTTAAAATGTAAACACAATTGTCTTTTTAACTTGAGCATTATATTCAGTTATGAAACTGGTGTGTGTATTAGGGATGGAACGATTTATGAAAACCGTCCGAACCGTTTGGTTCGACTGTCTCGGTTCTATTTGCGTGTGTTGCGTTCGGTTCATGCGCTGCTCCTTTTTCTCATACGCGTGTACGCTCCAGAGCAGAAGGTGGCAGTACTCCGACCAAAGCCAACCACCAGTAGTAAACGAGAAGAAGAAGCGAAGCAGCGTAGCCGGGTGTAGTAGAAAAAAATCATTTGTTGTGGAGAATTGTGTGGGTATGGCGAGTGGGAAAGAACAGGAGTTGGAAGACGCGCCAGCAGCACTTTATAGGTCTGCTGTATGGGACCACTTTGCATTTAGAGTGACCTACGATGACGGCAGAAAGAAGGTTGTGGATAAAAGTGCAACAGTGTGCAAGCATTGTGCAACACGTTTTGTTTATGCTAACAGCAACACGACCAACATGTCAGGCTAACAATCAACATATACTGAACCAAACAGAAAACCGTGACCACGAAACCGTGAACCAAACCGAACCGTGGATTCTGTGAACCGTTCCACCCCTAGTGTGTATACGGTCAAAAATATCAGAATTTTTTATTTTTTGCTTTGTGAAGAGAAGTTTGCCCATAAAGGACATCCTCACACTCATCCCTGTTTCCCTTTAATAGAGGAGGAACCTGCAGTCTAAAAGAGAACACAACATCCTGTTTCTTCAGGGGTCAAAATGACCATTTCATCCTTCCTGACCCTTCTCTGCAAAACGATACTGATTTTCTAGAGAAGGGGTAATTTACGTGACCACCTTAATTGGACCTCAGCTCTTCCACAAAACGGCTTCATTTTTCCCTAACTGTTCCCCAGACTCTTTGCCATAGGATAAAGGAAGGCGGGGGTGGTCCTCCCCCATCACCTATCTTTCTTTGTGGGGAGGGGAGGCAGCATTTAATTTAATATAGACATTTGTTTTAACGAGAAAATCTGGCCCAGATTTCAAATGCCTGAATCGTTTTGTTGCCTCGTTTAAATAAAGACGGTGATCAATCAGAGTTGACCATTTTGAATGGGGCTTTTGGTGCTGTATTAACTGTGTTTTCAAGTGCCTAGTTACTGGTGTTATTGGAACAGTAAAATGTGGTGAAAAAAGCGTTACTTTAGTCAGCTGCAGTATTTTGTATTGCTGTGTGTGTCTTAATTAAAAGCATTTAATTGGACAAACTGACTATAAAGTCTCCAGACTGAAACTGGCCATAAAATGTGTTTGACAAATTTTTCTCAAAATGAGACTGGAGTACAGAGACTCTAAACGTGTCTTTAGCTGACAGAGCCACCCACTGAGAGTACCAATTATATCAAGATGGTAAAAAATGATATATACTTTTTGCATTTAAGATCAAAAAATAAAAAAATCCGCAACTATGCTCTATCCAGAACGTCAAGTGGAAAATTTTGAGTTTCAACTACTTTTAATTTTCTTCTTTTAAAACTCTCAGGCTATCCAATTGTTAATCGATTAATTGCAAAACTAATCAAGAATTAGCATTTAAGATATTATTAGCATTTTCCGTTAATTTTTTATTACAATTTCTGAACTCTTCATAGCTTTCTTCCTATGAAATACGATTTGTTTTTTCCCCACCATGGTTTCTCAGTGACATTGTGTTTGACTGTGTGAGAGGTAACACCGTTAATGTCTAGCATTAGTGACATTAAGCAATTAAGCAGTCTGGCTTTTCGCAGCCAGTTTTATGGAACAGAACAGAACCCTACTTACCAGCAATGAAGAAAGATTTTGTTGTCTTCGTATTTGAAATCTTCTATGTTAATTTCATTTAAGTTTTAACAGTTAAACATAGAAACACAAACGTTTAACCACATTAAAGAAAATCGTCAATTTCTCTCAGTTCTGTTTGCTTTATTATTATGTGTTTTTTTTGTGTTTTTTTTACTGGTCGGTAAACCAGAGAAAACCACTTTCCCCTGAATTAATAACCACAGGTCAGACAACAACAGGTGCAGTTTTTGTCTATTTTAGCAGAGCAGCCAAGCTACCACCGACTGGTTGTTTAATTTCCGCTTGCAGTCTGTTTGTGGTTATCGATCAGGGGTCGGAAAAGCCTGTCTGCATTATGCAGAGCTTTGCCAAGCTTTATTTAAAAGAATAAATGTCTATTAGACTCCTGTCATTTTTACTGTTAAACTGTGATTCAAATGAAATTCTCAAAGTTTCAGTATCAGTTTAATTTTTACTTCAGTCTAATAATGCTGGAGCAGTTCTGCACTGTCCAGCTTCCCTGAATTCCCCATTTAACCTCTACTGCAGCCGACAAATCAGTAGAAATCATCTCCAACTTGTCCAGACAGATCAGAGGCACGTTTTTTGAGTGTATTGAACAAATTTGAAAAGGTCTTCTTGTAACATGTGCATCTCTGTCTCTGTGTCCAGGCTGTGGTGGAATGAGCAGTGTGTGTGTGTTGAAGAGGAAAGCAGTGCTCTGGCAGGATTCATTCAGCCCCCACCATAGAAGTACATCTCCCAGCATGCCTGTGGTGCTGAGCAGCGGCGGACATGCCCCCCCAACTGGACAGACCCCCCAGGCCACACCTCCCAGTCAGCAGGTAATAACCACCACTCTGATTCCTCATAAATGACTAAACGGACCTGAGAGCTTGCAGTCCACTGTGATGTGGAACTTGTATAACACTACCAACAGGTAGTCCCCATAACAGTACTTTGTAAAAAAAAAAAAAAAAAGGTTGGACACCATTTTATCTTCTAATATTTAGTAGAACTGGTGCAAATAGAGAGGGAACTTTGACTACCGTAAATCCTCTAATATTGGCCTGTATTCCATTAGCAGCTGGGTCTCTAATAATGGCCTGTCTGGCTGTCGGCAGAGGTCAATAGTGGCCGGACTCTTGTACAGGCCGGGGCTATAATTAGAACCAGTCTGGGTAGTCCTCAACAACTTGTGATACTAACATACAAGTACCACAGGGCGGCAATGTTTGCTAACAAATCCAAGCCATTAGCATGGGAAGTCCCATCCTTAGCGCAGACAATGCCGCAGACAGGAGGCTGGCTTGTTTTGCTTTATGACCGAAATTGCGGAAAACAACTCGTGAAGTTGGACCCGCTAGAAGAGCGTGGTGCGCGAGAACGCTGGGACCCTTTTCCTACCTGGATTTCCACTCTTTTTTCGCCGTATGTTCCTCCGTTGTCAGACTACTCGCCCCACTTCCTCATCGCCTTGGCGTATCTAGACCCACAGCGTATAGTGCAGACCACGCTTCAACATTGAGCATAAATCCAAAATGTCTGCGTCAAGCTCACTGCGACACACTGCTGCAGGAAGATAACCAGCCACACTTTAGTTCTGATCTGAAAGACAAATGTGATTACCAGTAGGTCTGGTGGTAACCAGGCAGCTTTAAAATGACAGAATTTCGTTGGCCTTCGTTGTTCTGAATTTCCCTTGAAATATACGATACTGGTAGCCTACTTCCACTTAGCCTGCCTCAAATAAAATTTTGCTATGATGGCAGAACAGTTTCCATTATTTTTTTTAAAAAACTTTGTTTCACAAGTCAGTTTGGCCAATATTCCGTTCTGTGTATTTTTATTTATTTTTTTTGTATTGTCGTGCAGAAAATTTGCAGCTGCTGGAAGATGTCTGAATAATGTTCTGTATACCGTTATGGTAACTGTACTTTTTCAATAAATGAACCTAGTATTTTATAGGTTCCAAGAGACACAAAATCTTGTTTTTATTCATTCCACTGGTGGTCTATTTTGATCAAATAGAAATAGAGGCCTGCCTCTAATTCTGGCCTCCTTTCAATAATGGCCTGGACCAAGATGTACCTGAGTGAAATAAAAGCCCCAGCTTATATTAGAGGATTTACGGTATTCCATCTTACAGAATCTCTTTAGATTCTCCTTTCTCTTCAGCAGCAAGAAACCAGTGTAAAGGAGGAAGATTGTTGGCTTTTAATAATTTTTGTGTTCATCTGATCCAGATGTTTAGAGTCGGTCATATTGGGTTGGTTATTAGATTTTTGTTTGGAACCTCTGGGGTAGCCCCACATAGTTCCTGGACCTTTACCAGACTCAGAGCATCATAAATCCCTCACCATACCTAACCCTTATAGGGCAAACTCTTAAATTCAACATTTCATGTCAAGAGTTTTATTGGAGGTCAGAACAAGTAAATATTACCTTTGTAACATTTAAAAAAAAAAATTTCATGCAAAAATGAGGGTTAATCTAATTACCAAAAAAACAATCCAAAGAGTGCTTCTAAAATAAATGTTTAAAAAAGAAACACTTAGGGAAAGAAACACATTTGTTACGACATAACCCTCAGAACATTAATGCTTATACAGGAACTTCCAATTTTTTTACTTTTTAACTTTGCTTATTAACATTTGAAATTTGCTTTTTTACTTGGCTTATTAAGTTTTAACTTATTCACTTTTTTAGGTATACTCTACTGGCCATATTTGATACTTAAAAAATGTTCCTTATTGAAGGCGGTGTCTGGTGAGGAGGGATATATTTTGGGGGTGGGGTGGGGGGGCTCCGGTCTTGGCTGGGATTGATGCTGATGGACACGTAACCTGGCCAACTGCCGTTAACAACAAGCTGGCGACCGCTAAGGAGCAATAATTTCAATGAAAGTTAAGAACGTAATAGAGAGCACATTTTATATCAGATTTTTAAGATGAAGAAAAAAAAAAAGCAGAAAACGTTCACTGGAGAGGTTTTTTTCGACCTCTTAAAATGTTTCACAGACTACAAAATTACAAAAACAGAGACCATACGTAGTTTTCTGGGTTTTATCCAGATGTGGCTGACCCCGTTAGTCCTACCTTAGAAATGGTGATGTACCAGTTATGTTTTGCGATTGGGTGGTTATCTGAGGCATCTTCTTCAGAGAGACGGAGGGAACGGTGGGGAAAAAGAGGGAGGTTCTATAACAGGAGCCTCCAACCCTGAGGCGTACTGGTTTGAGCCTCCGGTTAGCAGGTTTGGTTCTAGGTTGGATATTAGAGATTCACACTTGGTGGATCGAGCAGCTTCATTCTCCTTTCTGAGCCGACACAGATTGAACTGATTGATTAGA